AGACAACAATCGCATCCGGAAGGTGGACAGGCGGGTCCTGGAGAAGCTGGAAAACCTCATATTCCTCTACATGGAGAAGAACCAGCTCAAGGAAGTGCCTGCCTTCCTGCCGCCCAACCTGGAGCAGCTGCGTCTGAGCAGGAACCAGATCTCCAAGATCCCTGCTGGGGTCTTCAACAAGCTGGAGAATCTGGTGCTCTTGGATCTGCACCACAACAAGCTAAGCGATGGGGTCTTCAACAAAAATACCTTCAAGGGACTCAAGAACCTCATGCAACTCAACCTTGCCCACAACATCCTGAGGAAAATGCCCCCCGGGGTGCCCAATGCCATCCACCAGCTCTTCCTGGACAGGAACAACATTGAGGACATCCCCAGTGACTACTTCAAGGAGTTCCCCAACCTGGCATTCATCCGGCTCAACTACAACCAGATCTCTGACAAGGGGCTCCCCAAGAACTCCTTCAACCTCACCAACTTGCTGGTCTTGCACCTGGCCCACAACAAGCTCACCAACGTCCCTTTCATCAGCCCCAAGCTGGAGCACCTCTATCTGAATAACAACTCCATTGAAAGTGAGTTGCGCTGGCAGGTCGGGAGGCTGTGGTGAGGTCTGTGGGGGAGCGGCTGGGCTTGAGGATGGCAAGTGTTTCGTTGAAAAATGTCGTTTTTCACCCGGTGGGATGTGAACCCTTCAAAGGGGATGCAGTGGTGAGATGAGCTGGGGGCTCTTTGCAGGTGAACGAGGCCCTAAGTGGGGTGGATTTGCATGTGGGGGAGGATGGCCTGAGGACTCGGGTTGTAGCTGAGGAGCAGAGCTAAATTCCCCCTGGTGCTGCATGGCTTTTGGTGTTCGTTGTCATGGGCAGTTCCTCTTTGGGGTCACTTGCTATCCGAATAGTTACTTCCCCAGCACGGCTCAGAAATAGGGATATTTAAAAAGGAGAGTCTGTGCACATATTTTAAGAACAGATGCCAAATACGCAGTCAAGATGGTTAGAAATAACCCAGCTTAGCGCTCTCGAGCTGAGCCTCGCAGAGGAAGGAACAGGGAGAACAAGGCTGGGATGGAGGTTGCCTTGGCAAACCAACCGGGGCGGCTGCACGCCGTTCCAGGCGAAGCACTGCAATTTCACGGGAGAGGCGCTGGCCTGCGAGATGTGTAAACATAGCTAGCACACTCGAGAAGACAGACCCGCTCCTGGTCACCCCAGATGTTCCTGCTATTAGAGGTCCAGCAACATGCTGTCCTCGCTACCCGCGGGGAAGCAAGAATGCGGCGCTCCTGCCAGAAACCCTCCATGTGCACCGGGAAAAATGTGTTGGGCTCTTCTGTTTCTGGCTGCGGTGGGATGTATGGGGGCTGCAGGACCCGCCTGGGGCATTACTCGCCTGTGAAGCAGCCGCCGGGCTGGTTGCTGGTCCCCACAAGCGGTGCGACACAAGCACTTCCACGCTGCGGTGTTTGTTGTGTGGTGATGGCGCGTGGCTTTGTACGTAAGAGCGGTCCACGGCCGAAGAGGGGTTGTAAAATCACCGAGCAGCTTTAGCAGGCCAGCTTGCTGCCAAAACAGGGCGCTGGGCATGAGCCAGGAAGGGAGGAGCAAGAAAGCTGCACGAACGGCGTGATGGGACGTGATGCCGGGGAGAGGGGCAAAACCCTCACAAAGCCACATCCCTGCTCTCGGGGGGTCAGCCGGAGTCGGTTGTCATTCCACAGCGATGAATGTCTGGTTCAGATGCTGGTTAATCTGCATTTTATTTAAACAACACCAAACTGGAGCCAAGGGGACCTTGGGGCAAAGGTGGTGACTGCTGGGGGCTTCACAGGCACTGGTACCCAGGTCCTGCTAGAGCTTTCCATGGAGGGCTGCCCGCACGGCCACGCACGTCATGTCCCAGCTCCTTTTTTGCCTCTTTTATCCAGCTTTTATAAGGTTTCAGTCCCTGAAGTAGGGTGGCCACAGGAGAGTCCCCAGGTTTATTTTCCAGGTTTCTCCCTGGGGTGGGGAGAAACACGTGGAAATCCAGAAGCGAGCAACGAGCCGGTTATTGACGTTATCTTCAGCATAGCTGTGCTGGAGCATGTTTCCTTGATGTTTTTTTTGAAGGCTTAGGGCTGGCTCGGCAGGTTTCATGTTTGAAGTAATCCCTTTTCTCTCTCAAATGACACTGCATCCCTCATCATGCTTTGGCTGAACGTGACCTACTTCATTTCTGAACAAAAGCAAGATTTTCCTCTTGCTGGGGCTGCACCGACTTCTGGGAGAGGCTGGGGATTCTCTCCCTCGGTAGCAAAGGAACCCCATTTTGGGGTTCCGCAGGCAGGCAGGGAAGGGGGTCTCTAGCATCCCTCTCTGTCTTCCCTTTCCTCTAACCTGCATCCCGCTTTTCCTCCCCTCCCTGCAGAAATCAACGGGACGCAGATCTGCCCCACCTCGCTGATGTCCATCCAGGACTTCTCCCCCTCCGACCTGGACAGCGTGCCCCGGCTCCGGTACCTGCGGCTGGACGGGAACCTCCTGAAACCCCCCATCCCCTTGGACCTGATGATGTGTTTCCGCCTCCTGCAGTCCGTGGTCTTCTAGCCCTGCCCGGCAGCGTGCCCCTGCCAGGACTTGGCTTTGCACAGAGACTCGACCCCCGTCGGTGTTTGGCACGTGGGACCCCCTTTGCCTCCCTCTCCCCCTGCTCACACCCCACCTCCATCCCTCTTGCCTTCTCCCCTTTCCTCCCCTGCAGCGGCCGTGGACACGCGTGGCATCTGCGTCCTGGGGGACCACTGGCTGAGGACAG